AAAGGGGAGGTTTTTGGGGGGAAAAGGGGAGGAGGTTTCTGGGGGGGAATGGGGGGGAGGTTTTCGAGGGAATAGCTTTTTGGGGGAATAGAGGAGGTTTCCGAGGGAAAGGTGGGGAGGTTTTTGGGGGACTAGGGGAGCTTTCCGAGGGAAAGGTGGGGAGCTTTTTGGGGGAATAGGGGAGCTTTTTGGGGGAATGGTGGGGAGCTTTTTGGGGGAACAGGCCAGGCTTTCAGGGAAAAGGTGGGGAGCTTTTCGGGGGAATAGTGCAAGTTTTTGGTTCCTTTTCTATCCCTTTATTTTTTTTTTCCCCCACCCCAAAACGTGAAGGCTGGCGAGGCGCGGGGTTAAACCCCAAGCAAGGGGGCTTGAGACCCTCCCCAGGGCATTTTTGGGGTGGGGGGCAAAACTGTCCCCCCCCAACTCCCCCCCCAGGGCTGTGCTGGCACCACTGGGGGCTTCTGGGCCCCCCAAAAATTTCCTATCTGTACTGGGAAGCTCCAAAACCCCACTAAAGCTCTTTTGGGGTGGGCGAGGGGGATTAAGACCCTCCCCAGAGCATTTTTGGGGGTGGGGGGCCAAAACTGTCCCCCCCCCAACTCCCCCCAGGGCTGTGCTGGCACCACTGGGGGCTTCTGGGCCCCCCCAAAATTTTCCTATCTGTACTGGGAAGCTCCAAAACCCCACTAAAGCTCTTTTGGGGTGGGCGAGGGGGATTAAGACCCTCCCCAGAGCATTTTTGGGGGTGGGGGGCCAAAACTGTCCCCCCCCCAACTCCCCCCAGGGCTGTGCTGGCACCACTGGGGGCTTCTGGGCCCCCCCAAAATTTTCCTATCTGTACTGGGAAGCTCCAAAACCCCACTAAAGCTCTTTTGGGGTGGGCGAGGGGGATTAAGACCCTCCCCAGAGCATTTTTGGGGGTGGGGGGCCAAAACTGTCCCCCCCCCCAACCCCCCCTAGGGCTGTGCTGGCACCACTGGGGGCTTCTGGGCCCCCCCAAAATTTTCCTATCTGTACTGGGAAGCTCCAAAACCCCACTAAAGCTCTTTTGGGGTGGGCGAGGGGGATTAAGACCCTCCCCCGAGCA